AAGGCTGCTCAGCACAAAAATCATCTTATCTCTCATCGTCCTGGATGACTACGTTCAATTACTCGTCCTGACATCACATCAGCAGCTGCGTTGTTTTTCTTTCCTAATATCAGATGAGTGTGTCACCAAAGTCCTGTAAAAGTTTGCAGAAACATTAACGCTTTGTCATCAACTTTATTTGCTGCGGCTCTGCCTTCCTTCATTGTCAGCCTCTGTTTTCTTTCTGCCTATTACTCTCTCGCCCCATATCTTCATATCTCCATAGTCTTCATTAATCACAGCGAGCTCTGGAGCGAGCTTTGAAACAGAGCTGTAAAGAATAAGGAATCAAATATGCACAGAGAGCATGAGGGAGGGTTTTTATATGACCGGGAGGAAACCTGGTCATGTCTGTCAGACACAGAATGGACTTTGGAGGTATTCAGGATTTTACACATGTACTTCTACTCCTGCTGCCCATTCAGCCTCTTGCTTTTGCAAACAGGAAGCAGTGGAGCAGGCAGGAATGCAAATAATTTCGTTTTTCCCCCTTACTTTCATGCAGGGGTTAGCTGTGCTGAATATTTCCTCAGCATAGTCATTTGTGTGTTTCGCCACTAGAGGGAGGTAGAGCAATTTGAAGATCTGCAAGCTGGTATTCTGTAATGCTGTAATACGGCCAAATAGTTTAATGACAGTGACAATCTGAACATAGTACAAACTGAGTAACAAAATATGATTAATGTGACTTCATAATGAAAAACAGTTTAAAAAATATATTGCATTTTTTTCCATGACACAGCACACTGCATCGTTTTGCAGGACAGTTCACCCAAAGTGTTAAAGTTGTGTGCTTTGCATCTGTTTGTTTATAGACATATTCTATCTTTGCATTTCAGTTGAAAAAGGGGTGAAAATAACATCTGAAACTCGTCTTGTTTACCTCTGCTCGACAACAAAGCCTCCACTTCTTACATCTTTTCTTATTTTGCTCATTCTGTCGGTTTATCTCTGCTGAAAAACTCAAAACCTACCAAAACCGTGTAATTTCGCGTCAATCATAGCCGTCGTTTCGTGCCGAATAGAGCTGACAGTGGGTGAACGGTCCAAATCTTGAGCTGAGTTAGATGCAAATGTCTTTTATTCAGTTCATACCTGAAGTGATCTGGGTGATTTTTTTTCCTCCCGTGTCTGCTGGTTTCCAGCCACAGCGAATCTTTCCCTTTAAGCTTATTTTTCATTTGGCTCAGGGTAATTGTTATGTCATCAGGCCCCCAATAGCTGTCTAATGGCAGCGTTGCGGTTGCTCATTATTTGTGAAGTTAAATTGAACAAGCTTCAATCAGAGGAATGATGATAGGCTGAGGCTCCTTAATGTAGTTTGAAAAGGAAAATTAGAAAATTAAAATAATTTGTAGCAAGGTTCAACTGAAGCAATAACCGCCTCTAAGCGGTGTATATAAATCCCGAAAATCACAGGAAGGATCTAAACCACTGTAGTGATATAACTCGTCCGAAGGGTGTGTGTGTGGGTGTGATTGGGGGCTTGTTGTTGCTGAGGTACCTTTCATTAGCTGAAGATGTCTTGGGAGATTGCTTGGGCTGTTAGCTATGAAGTCTCTGAAAATTGTTCTAGATCACCGTCAGAGCAGCCAGAGCACACACTGATCGTCAAGCAGTTCAGTCCAAACATTGGAGAATGACAGATATTTAATGTAGAACGACAACTTCTAAATATTGCAGAACATTGGATATTTTTGCTTCGTTATTCGTTTTATCATTTTAAAAATGCTTTCATTGAGCGAATCACCAGATATGTTGATGTGATTGTTCTGAGTTGCATTAAAAGAGCGTTTAGCTGTAAAGAAAAAGAAAGCAGAACCGATCTGGTTAGAAAATATTAAACACCTTTGCCACGCGCTGCTCTAAAAATCCTATTTCCTGTTGTCCTTTCTCTCTTGCAGGGCTTTGAAGACCCCAAAGACAAGTGAGTAGTGACTCATTGTGCTTGTTGTTTTGTCCTTGTCTGTGTGCCACCTTAGAGGACTTGTTCTTACTTTGCCCTAGACGATAGGCAAC